CTTGTTGTTACTATTAATTTGTAATAATTAGTTGATCTGAGTTAAACGTATTAATATATTATATTTATATGTCATTTATTTCTTAAACATAAGATATTTATTAAAATTTGTGTTTTTCCGCTATTTCTGAAACTATTGTATTGAATAGTATTTTAAATAAAAGTTATATAAAAACTGTAATGACAATGAAATACAAATTAATTATTTTTGTGTTATATATTTATTTAAATCAAATCAATACCAGTGCCACAGAGGGTGGCGACCAGGAATGTACGACACATACAGTGCACTGGTTAGTGTTTGAGTTTGGATAAGTAACCACAGGTATGCCCGTCACCAATCGGCTCATATTCGGGCTGGTCTTATATATGTATACGACAGTTAGGTCATACATAAATTAATTGATCGATTTTATGTTTATATTAAAATAACTACCTACTTAATATACTTAACTATGCTAAAATTATCTAAACTAATTTATAATAGTACCTGAACTATTGTTAAAAACTATTATGTAGCGTACACTATGTCCAACTAATGTACATAAACTATATAATAATTAAAACCTTGTCTAATGACATGTCTGTCCACTCACAGAGACATCCAAACAGCGATTCCGTGAAAAGTTCTTTCGCTATGCCATGAGTTTGGGTCACATAATGCCGGCTAATGGTTGCCTACTGTACACACTGTGCGCCTACGGTTGCATGGATTTGGTCCGGTATGGCGTACAGACCACTAACCCTACCGATAGGTCCGATGACCCGGACTACTTTCATACGATGGTAGAGGCCTGGCAACTTGGACAAGCCTACGCTAGTGAAGTGCATAATAATGTGAATGAATGTAGGAATGTATGCGCGCCTACCTACCCAGAGTGCAGCACGGGTACCAGTAGTGAGTTTACAAACTGGTGGAACCGGTGGTGGTTGCAGGTTTATGAGAAAGGTCATTTTGCCGGCATGGGTATATTTAATGCCGTGCCCGAGAGTTGGATGGACAGGCAGACTGAGGGGAATGTCGTATAATTTTTTATTAGAAAAAATTATTTTTTTGTGATAATTAAGTTTTATTATTTGATTATTTTTGTGATATTCATTGAATGTGTTTTTAACATAATTTTGATAGTATTGTGCGATAAATAATATTTTGATAAAATTGTTTAAATGTCAATATATTTAATTACTGCATTATATTGCATTCACATATAATTTCACAATAAATAAAATATTATGAACATAAACTATACTTATATTTAATGAAAGTAAAGTAATTTTGGCAAATTGTTTTATTAAATTATTACATTAGCTGAATATTATCATACAGTATTTATGCTATATCATTAATAGTCTATTAATAATAGATATTAAATATTTTTATTTTATAAATTATATAATTTATAATAAACACCTTATTTATGTAAGACTAGTTGATTATTAAACATTTAAGTAATAATACAAAGGTTGTAAATATGTGCAGTTAAAAAATAATGATTAATGTAAAGTGAATTAATGCGCAATTTTAATGATACAAATCAGAAACTAGATTATAGTGAAAAACAAAATTACATCAAATTACTATATTACGTATTCAACATAAACCTTGAATGCAAAAATAAACAAGCTAATAATTATTAGATAAAAGATGAAAGAGTTAAAATGAAACAGACTTTATACATAAATATAAAATAATTTAATTTCAACACTATTGCCAATAACGATTAAAATTTTATTAAACTTTAAAATTATAAACCATGAAGCTCATATTTACCGCAATTACTATATATTTATTATGCAACATAACTACCCCGATAACTTGTCAGTCTATTAACACTGGAGGTACGTATGATTATAGTGCTATTCAATAAGTATGTACACAAAATTATAGTCTAATTGTTTAACCTTTTAAGTTTACATTTTGCGTACATGCTAATTAATTTGCCCTCTAACAGTATCAACTCGACAAAAGTTCCGTGATGACTTTTTCCACGTTATGATGGCTGTGGGAAATGTATTGCCAAAGGCCTGCCAACTGTACACCCTTTGCACCGCTGGCTGTGAAGACCTGGTCAGTTACGGCAACCCGGGTACTAATCTCACTGATAGCACTGATTACCCGGATCACCTTAGAGAATATTATAGGGCTTATTATACGGGTCATGGATATGCCGGTGTTGTTGGTAAAGATGTAGATGCATGTGAACCAAAGTGCATGGGTAGTTATGGTGATTGTCGTACAGACACTGATAGTGATCTAGCTAATGTCTGGAATTGGACCTGGATGCGAGTGTATGAGACTGCTCATATTACTTGTATGTGGGTGTATGATACACTAGCAGATAATTTGATAGACAATAAATTGTGCTTGTTCGGTGTGAGTTTAATTTAAATCTGTAATTGGAATGAGAATTGCTATTATTAGTTATTTTTATGCCAAAATTTATAAACCTTGAATTTAAAATAAACATGCAAAATAAAAAATTGCGAAAAGCTATTAGTGATATCCAAAAGTGCATGTTTATTAAAAATTAAAATAAGTACTTAAATAAAAATACATATTTATGTCTACATGTAACGTATACAAATTAAAACTTATTTAAACGTTTTGATTATTTATATTTAAGCTAATGATTATTTATAATAATATAATAAAAATGAAACTGATATTAATCGCGTTAACTATATGTTTGGTACTCAATAAAGTTACCCGGCTCAATAGCCAACCTTTTAGAATGGGAGTGGGTGTAAAATGTGACTATTTATTTGGTTTTCACTATCGTTTTTGGGATGGTTGTATTTATGACGGTTGGTGGTTAGCCAGGTATAACCCAAAAGATGATATATACTTGTGCTGTTATAGTGGTAAGTACTATACCTAGCGTTCACCTTAATATAGTTACAAACCTTGATATTACCATGAGAATATATGTAAGAATATACATAAAAAGGCATTATAAATTTGAAAACAAGCTGTAAAGCACTAACAACACGAAAAATAAGCAGCACTAAAATAAAATTGAGTTTTTTTTATTGTTTTTAATACCATTTTCATTTTCAATTAATAATAAAGGAGTTCTTCTATTAATTGAATAATTAGACACTTTATTTAAATTATTAATAAAACTTGTATTCACTTTAATTACATTAAATTAAACTCAATCTTATTTTAAATGAATAACTTTTGTTTCACTCATTGACTGATTGTGTTGTTAGTGCTTTACAGCTTGTTTTCAAATTTATAATGCCTTTTTATGTATATTCTTACATATTTCCTTTGTCTATTGGTATTTATACCAGGTCACTACAACAAACTTAATGTTCTCCAAGTATAATTGCGGTCATTTGATTAATAATTAAATTAGTTGCTAACTTTTATTTACTATTATAAGTATTTATAAGTAGTTAAATTATTCATTTTTTATTACAATATCTAATTTAAAAATCTATGTATTACCATAATACTATTCATTACTTAAGTTGTAATGGCAAAATATTACTCCATTAATAGAATCAATTTATAATTGGAGAATGTTGATCATAATCGCAATGAATTTCAGAAATTGTTATTTGAAATTGCATTGAAATTCAGAATTTTAAAAATGTTAATCATTTGGGGCGTACGGGCGGGCGCGGGTGTATTACTCACCCGCTGGCCCAACCGTCGCTCAATACTTGATGAAGAAGTCAGACCTCGAAAATCCTGCATAAGCCTTGATGTTTCGGAACCCTAATTGTAGCGGATATTTACCTAGCTAAATTTAATTACATGTGCTAATTTGCAATGTGCTAGATACATTATAAAAACATTTTACTAAAAATATATTAAATTTATTATATTATTAAATGCTAAATAAGTGGCTATAATCATAAATAACAATTTTACCTCAACTAATAAGTGACCAAGCGACAAAAGCTCCGGAATAATATGTTCCGGTTTGGGATGGCTGTGGGAAATCTAATGCATAAGGGATGCCTACTGTACACCCTATGCCGGGTTGGCTGCGAGGACCAGATCCTGTACGGCCCACAGGATACTAACCCCACTGTGAGCGACAGGGACCCCAAATATCTACGCCCAATGGTCAGGGCATTTCAAACCGGTCAGGCATACGCCGCTACCATTGGCAACAATACCAGCGCCTGTCAACCCAAATGTGCCAAAAAATATAAGGACTGTCCGAAGGATACTTATAACTGGTGGATTAATACACGGAATAAGGCCTGGATAAAATTTTATTGGACAGTTCATCAGTACGGCATGTCCATTTATTATAAACTGACTGACTTGTTGTATGGCGTACACAAGAATGTAAATTGGAATTAAGTACCATGGTGCTAAAAAGGTTCCTTGAAATTAGCACAATTGCTATGTAATAGACTTGTGTGCGACGAATAATGTTAATTTGATAATTTGTTCCTTGTTAGTTATATTGCAAAATTATATGCATATTAAAAATGTTAATATAGTTTTGTTAAATAACATACTTTGTTTTTCATACTTTAATAATTTTGTAATATAGTTTACGTAGAAATCCATACCCACCCACCCCACGTACATGCAGCATGGATATCACAAGTGAATTAACTAGCTCAAATTAGTGGCGTTTGCAAGCAATTAAAATAAGTATAATTAATTAGCATATTCATTTTAATATTATAATAGTTATAATTCGGTACTTTAAGAGTATAGCGTTTGAGACATTGGTATTAATTTCTAAAAATATGTCTCTCTCTCT